TATTTACTGTTTATTCTCCTCTGCAGTCCCTACTTCCCTCCACTGGCTTTCCTGCTGTTCCATTAAAGGCATATGCCCACCTCTGGACCTCTGTCTTCAGTTGCTGTTTGCTTCCTGTGCTGGAATGCTCTTCTGATGAGGATCTATGTGATTCATTCCCTTTCTTCAGTTCTTTGTTTAAATGCCACCTTTTCACTGAGGCTTTCCCTGATATTGTGCAGCATTTCTCATGTCCCTTCTCTGCTTTATTTCTCTTATAGAACTTTCTACTCTCTGGAAAGATTTTATATTTTATTCATTTGCTGTTGTCTATTAACCTGACCTCTACCCTTTACCTCCTCTCCTCCCATACTAATATGTAAACTTCATGAGGACAGCTGCAAAATGTGCATTTGTGCTGGTGAAAAAAAAAATTGTCCAGTTATCCAGCAAAATGGCATTTGTTTGCATATGCTACATAGTTGGCCCTCAGTTGCCTTCTTACCTTCCAGCCTGGTATATTATACTAGTTTCCCCATTGCTTAGTCCTCTTTATAAATGTAGCAGCATCCCTAGAGTTTAGAATAGTTCCTAGCACATAGTAGGTATTCAATAAACATTTGTTGATGAATGCGTGTGTTCCAAGAGAAGTGTTTTTATGTGATTTTATCTGAAAGTTTTAAGATTTAAATGTTTTTACCTTTTTTAAAAAAAACAATTTTAATATATATATATATATATATATATATATATATATATATATATATCTTTATTGATTTCAGAGAGGAAGGGAGAGGGAGAGAGAGACAGAAACATCAATGATGAGAGAGAATCATTGATCAGTTGCCTCTTGCACACCCCCACTGGGAATTGAGCTCTCAACCCCAGGCACATGCCCTGACTGGGAATTGAACTATCATCTGCTGGTTCATAGGTTGACGCTCAATCACTGAGCCATGCCAGCCAGGCAAGAGCAATTCTTTAAGCATCCTCTTCCCTCAATCATGCTAGATTCTCATACCTTACACATTGCCAGGTTGTCAGGTGCTGACATCTTGTTCAAGAAATCAAGCACTCCTGCTTGCTGCTGAAACAGTTACTGTACCCCGCAGTTAGTTGTCCTGGGTGGTAACCAGCTTCCAAGACAGCACCCAGACCTCCTGATGTTCACACCATTAGGTAGCCTCTTCCAGCATTATATTCGATACCAGGTTTGGTCTATGTGACAAACAGAATCCTGGGAAAGTGACAGTTTGTGACTACTGAGACCAGGCCAAAAAAGACATTGCCACCTCTGACTTGCTCTCTTGAATATCTCACTCTGGGTGAAGCCAGCCACCGTTCCGCTAGGAGACTCAGACAGCTCTAGGGGAGGGCCACATGGCGAGGAGCTGAGGCCTCCCGCCAACAGACAGCACCAGCTCGCCAGCCCCGAGAGGGAGCCATCTTAGAAGTGGATTCTCTAGCCCCAGTCAAGTTTTCCAATGCCTGCAGCCATGGCTGATATTTTTTCTATAACCTTTCGAGAGACCTTGAACCAGAATCACCTAGGCTAAGCTGTTCCTGGATTCCTTACCCACAGAAACTAAGTGAGATAATAAATGCTTGCTGCTGGGTTAAAACCGTTTTTGGAATGGCAGTATGTCACAGAGCAATACACAACTAATACAGAATGGCTCGTTCAAGTCCAAACATTGTCTTTTGCTTACATGACACCCCTGGAACGTAGGAATTCTTCTGCTGTCTCATGAGGTACTGGAGTATGGAAATTATTGTGCGATTGTCTATGCCCTTTATCCCTCAACACACCACGTGTTTCTTCGCTAGGATTGTACCTTCCTAGTCTCTTGGCTCAGGAAGCAAAGCCCAAGTTCCCTCCTTTCCTAGAAGCAAAGACCTATTTGCAGACCTGCCGTCCTTCATCCCCAACCTTAATCTTGTTTTTTGTTTCTGTCTTGGGGAAAAACTTCTCTATTTTTATGGCCATAATATATATATATAGATTTTTAGAGAGGAAGGGAGATGGAAAGACAGAAACATCAATAATGAGAGAGAACCACTGATTGGCTGCCTCCCGAACTCCCTCTACTGGGAATTGAGCCTGCAACCCCGGCTTGTGCAATTGGCCAGAACTGAGCCTGGGACCCTTCAGTCCACAGGCGGACGCTCTATCCATTGAGCCAAACCAACTAGGGCATGACCATAATATTTTTGTACTTTAACCTTCTCACCCTCTCCAGGACTTTTAGAAATAAAAGTTAGAAACAAGCTTACCTTTTTTCTTTCGTGTTATAATCCCTTCCCTGAGACAGTGAACAGATGGCTCTCTCCTTGAATTCTGAGTGGTGGGTAAGGAAAGAGGAAAATGGAGGGAAGAAAAATTAAGGTAATTATCTTGAAATACTGTCCTACCACAATTATCAATATATGTTGGGTATTTACTCTACACTAGACACTCTGATGAATGCTTTAAATATTTATCTCACTAACACCTTACAATAGCCAATGAAGTAAGTGCTATTATGCTAATTTTACAAACAAGGAGGTCATGCTTAGAGAGTGATTAGTAAGTTACTTGCCTGAGGTCTAAAAACTTGTAGGTGGCAAAGCTGGGATTGTACCAGGTATGTGTTTTATTGGAAAGCCAAGGCTTTTGACCATCACCGTGTGGTTAGGGAGGGGAGAGAATGGGTCTTATTTGGCTCCATTTGTTCACATAAATGAGCATGCCAATCATAGCTAAGATTTATCTGTTCATTAAGGCATTGCTGGCAGTAGCTTCTACTGGCAATACTTTTCAGGCAGTCATACCTACTCTGTGCACATGAAAATCAGACATTTTATTTAGTTTTTAGGTCATCCAGCCAGCCAGCCAGCCAGAAAATGTTTCCCAAGTGCCTGTGCTGTAGGCACTGTGTGTGATGCTGGAGATACCAAGCTAAGTTAGATACTCACCATGAGCTAAATGTGTGTTTGGATGGTACAGGCATATAAACTAGTAATTACAGGAGTGAGATAAGCTCTGTATCTAAATAGTGTGTGAACTATATGTTCTGGAATGCAGAGGAGAAGTACAACAGGGAAACATACCCAGAGGTAACATTTCAGCCTTCAAGGTGAGTAGAAATTCACCAGTAGGGCATCCTGGACAGAGGAAGGGACCTGGGCAAAGGTGTTTGGCAGTTTTGGAGAGCTCCAGGTAATTGAGAATAACTGAAGAGCAGGATGGATGCTTTGTAGGGATCAGATAATGAAGAGGTTTGTTATACCCTGTTGGCTAATAAAAAGGATTAGAACTCTCACCCCATGGGTGGAACTTTCCCGCAGATAGGCCTTGTTTGTCAGAGTTTTCAAAATTAGAATGCCTACAATGTTCTGTCTCCTCAGGCCACCTCTCCATATTGTATTTTGCCGCACTAATAACATACTTAGGACTCCTATCTACCCCTCTAGACGTTTGAGTTTACTTCTGCCACAGCAATGGGAAGTCACTAAAGAATATTTTAAAGCAAGATAGTATTTGCCCTTTCAGAAAAGGCCACGCTGGCTTACTGTGGAGAATGAATGGTGAGTCCACAAACTTAAGGTCAAAATTAGGAGACTTCTTGGATGAGGAGGCTGAGGGAGGGGGAAGAGTCACGATTCCCAGGTTCTACTGGATGAATGGTGGTGCCATTCACCCAAAATAAAATACAAAAGGAAGGTTTTACTCTGTATGTTATATAAAGTAAAATTCCTTGCGAAGGATTGTGGAGTGCTTGCTAGAGTCCACTTAATAGCTCTCAGGACTACATAGATGAAGTTCACCTTGAGACTTTTCAAAAGTGACACAAATGTGCCAATAAACACTGTGATATATTTATGTCACAAATCAAGATACATTTAGGACATGTTGGGAAGAGTAAGAATTTTTCTTATACTGCTGGTATAAGAAAAATGAGACATAATGTTTAAAATGGGGACTGTTCTGAAAAATCTTCTGCATATGGTCACTTTAATAAAAAGTCTTTCTGAATGAAAATACTATGTACATAGTATTAAAATAAGATATACATGTTTTAAAAACAAAAATTTAAAAAGAATGTACATGTTTAAATAAACACGTCTTAGTTACAGCTTATAGGTATTCTCATCTTGAAAAATAATTTAAAACTGCTTACCATACTTTTCACCAGAGTTACTACTGGGAAGCCCCATCAATAATTTATTTATTTATTTTTGTTAATCCTCATCCCAGAATATTTTTCTACTGATTTTTAGAGAGAGTGCAAGGGATGGGGAGAGACAGAAAAACGTCAATGTGAAAGAGACGCATTGATTGTTTGCATCCTACACATGCCTGGACCAGGGTCAGGGATCAAGCCTGCAACCTAGGTACATGCCCTTAGCCAGAATAGAACCTGGGACCCTTCAGTCTGCAGGCTGATGCTCTATCCACTGAACTAAATTGGCTAGGGGAGAGAGAGAGAGAGAGAGAGAGAGAGAGAGAGAGAGAGAGAGAGAGAGAGAGAGAGAGAGAGAGAGAGAGAAAGAAAGAAAGAAAGAAAGAAAGAGAAAGAAAGAAAGAAAGAAAGAAAGAAAGAAAGAAAGAAAGAAAGAAAGAAAGAAAGAAAGATATTGATTTCATCTTCCATCACTGGGCATGGAGCCCATGACCAGGAATTCAACCACAATCGCCTGCTACGCTCATGCACTGAGCCACACTGGCTGGGCAAATATATCTTAATTGTTGAAAGTATTATAGATGTCCCCCTTTTCCTCCCCATTGACCCTCTCCAACCCATAGGAGAAAACAGCAATTACAATGAACATTTTAAAATTTCCATATGCAAAAGTTGGACCTGACAAATAAAAATTAAACCCTCCGTAGGGAAAATAAATTTCAATTTAGCACATTGATCTTCAGAGAAAACAATATGCACATTTGAAAATATTTTTATTGATTTCAGAGAGGAAGGAGAGGGAGAGAGAGAGAAATATCAATGATGAGAGAGAATCATTGGTAAGGCTGCCTCCTGCACACCCTACACTGGGGATGAGCCCATAACCGGGACACATGTTCTGACGAGAAATTGAAGTGCAACCTCCTGGTTCATAGGGCAATGCTCAACCACTGAGCCACGCTGGCCAGGCACTGTATACATTTAAAAAAATCATTTAAAATATTTTAGATTTGTTTTCTCTGAGGATTTAAGAAAGTATGCCTCATAAAACTCTATGAGTTCTGGAAACAAGTTTAAATCTTATTTTTTTGGTATTTAGTATTTCAAAAGATAAAGGAGGATCTTAACTTTTCCCTTTTTATTAGGAATGTGAAATTCTTTACATGTAATAATAAAAATATGCTGTATTCTCAAACAATATAAAAGTGGTACTGTTATTTGGATTTGCACATCATTTCTATATTCTGAACTATGTGTGTATATATTCATTTTAGGCTATAATTTTGGATTCTTTTAAAAAATAAAAACAGTAAATTTTCCCTACAAACTAGCAAACAACAATTGCTAATTTACGTCTTATGTTTTCCAGTTGAGAATGTGGCCATGTGTGTCACGAGGTGGATGAGATCATTCCTATGTTGAGGAAGCCGAAGTGCTTTTCTAAGTCCATGGGTGGTCTGGCCGGATTTCCGAGTTGAGTTAGAACAACCTTTTATGTCATGGGATGCCTTGCCCAGGTTGTGCAATGTAAAACCAAGCAAACCTGTTACTCAACTACTTCAATTCTATTCCTTCTGTATCCCAATTAGATTATTTCAGTATAAACATGATCCAATAGACTATTTACCAGGTGATGAAGATGGTAAAAATTTCTGTGGACTTACTGAATTAAAAAAACAAAAAACCACAAAAAACTAGTTTGAAAGTATGCTGTGAGTCAGGTGGGACTTGGAAGGCACTCAGAAAAGCAGGCTTTATTATTTAAAGAAAACCCAGAAAAGGTGATATCAGAGTCAATAGTTTTTTACAGGGGTTCTCCTTCTCTCTTTTCTACCCACTTGGGATACCCACAAGCTCCCTTTATTTCTCATCCTAGGACTATGCCACAGGTGTGGTAGGTGTGGCCACTGGAAGCTTTTGCTTCCCACCAAGGCCCAAGAACAGGTCATTGAGACTGGATGGGGCTGTGCTCGCTCTGGGTAGAAGGCGGGAGAGAAAGCAGGAGTACTATATGTGAGTCATCCTAACAAGAGAGCTTTTTAAGTTCTTATTTCAGCCGTTCCATATTTCTTTAGTTTTTCCACAATGGCCTTAAAAGTCGGTCATCTATTTCCTTTAAAGTAGATGATTCATTTTTTTTATTGCTTTGTGTTCTGCCATCCAAATTTACTTGGATAAAAATGTGGGTCAATTAACTTTGAACTCAATTTCAACTGGTCCTTAATTTGTTACCTTCTCAAGTATTACTTCCTCAAAGAAAAATAAAACAAGTATGATCCTGAAAAAAGGATTTGTGGAAATTTTATTTAAGAAAAAAGAAATTGCTACCATTTCTTTGGGCAGGTCTGTACTATAACTTTTCACTGTCAACATCTGAAATTTCCAGGCTTTCTTTAAAAAACTGCTCTTGCATAAGATTTTTCTTTTTTGTTTTATTCTATAACTAGAGGCCCAAAGCATGACAGTCATGTAAGAGTAGGCCTTCCCTCCCCTGGCTGCCAGCACCGGCTTCCCTCTGGTACCTGGGACCCGGGCTTCCCTTACAGCCTCAGCTTCGTCTGGAAGGACATCTGGTCTAATTAGCATATTAAGCTTTTATTAGTATAGATTATTATAGATGTTTCAAGTCCATAACTACTTTGCTGCATTCTGAGGACATTTCAGGGTCTAAATCCTGTAGAGATATACAGATTATTAATTGTATTATTCAGTGTATATACTAAACAAATGATTTTAAAAAAATACATTTTATTGATTTTTTACAGAGAGAAAGAGAGAGGGATAGAGAGTTAGAAACATCGATGAGAGAGAATCATCGACCAGCGGCCTCTTGCACACCCCCTACTGGGGATGTGTCCTTGACCGCAATCGAACCTGGGAACTTTCAGTCCATAGACAGACGCTCTATCCGCTGAACCAAACCGGTTTCAGCTAAACAAATGATTTTTGAGTGCCTACTATGTGGCAGTCACTGTCTGGGTGCCAGAGATATAAAAATGAAGCTCAAAGTCTAATTGGGGGAATACTACATATTTGAATAATTATGAAGTAGTCGATGAAATATTAAAAGAGATCTATTATACAAAATACAACTAGAACTAGACAATGGAATAACTAATTGTGCCAAAGAGAGTCAAGGAATGTGATAATATTTGATGAAGATATTAAAGAATAACTAGAGATTCTCCCAGTGGGTCTACCCAGTGGGAGGAGGCATTCAATTACAGGGAACATTGTTTGCAAAAGCAGGGAGGCCTGAAATGCAAGATAAATCCTGAAAGTGGCCTGGAATCACTGGAATTTAGGATACAAAGATTAAGCATAAGTTCCTTTCACCAGTTGGCTAGCTCTCCCAGCTGCCTCTCACATTCTCCTCTTAGTTTCACTCCTGCTTCAGCTCCTAATACAGCAGAGCTCTTTTCTCCCCCAGCACCTCTGGACATTGAGTAGGTAATTTCTCAGCTACTTTATGAGCATGAGACTCCTTTCATGAAAGGGACACACCTTGTGCCTCATATTACTTTCTTTAACAAAACCAGTCACTCCCAGTCTGATTACTCCCTCTATTTACTGGGGTTTATTTTCCCAAAGACTTGATTGTTTTCAAGTCAAGGCCATTTCGGAAGACTGAAGATTTACCATCGATTGAGATATTGAAAGAATATATAGCAAATTCTGAAAATAGCCCTGAGAAGTATTCTAAAAATATTTTGAGAAATTCTAGCATCAATTATAGCGTCTAAAGAAGGTTCTTTGACAAAAAAAAAACAAAAAAACAAAAACAAAAACAAAAAAACACTCCACTGGCTGTACAAATTCTAGCATGTTTTAAAATAGTCACACATTGTTAATTTTTAGGTGTGATAATGATATTGTGGTTATTTTTTTAAAGACATATTTTGGAGAGACATAATTAAAATAATAAGGTGAAAGAGTGTGGGATTTGCTTTAAAATAAACCAATGATGGGAGGAAAGGTTAAGTGTGGGGAGTAGATGAAATAATATTAATGAATAGACATCTGAAGCTCATTGCACCAGTCTATTTTTGCATGTTTAAAACATTCAGTAATAAAAAGTCACCTTACCTTATAGTCACATTTCATCTTGTCCTTGTAGGTGAAAAGGAAATAATCGTGTTTTTTTTTGTTTTGTTTTGTTTTTACAAATATAAAGGCACATGCAGTACTTTAATAGCATCAACTCATTAGCCCCTCCAGAGGTTGAGATCATTTGAGTTCTTTATAAGGACTCTAATACCTTTGGCTGTAAAGGATTTTATATTTATATGTAAATAAATAATCTTTTAGTATTTCTAAAGATAAATAAGTAGACAATTAAACATGCAAATCTAACCATACTAAAAATTCTACCTTTTATCCCAAAGAGTGCACCATTTCTAATTTTAGCTTGTCATTGTCTTTTATTTTACAGCACAACTGCACTATAAACACTAATGAATAAAAATTACCTAGTGTAATTGTCATTTTCCTCCTATTATAATGTATCAAGTTATATTGATTTATTTGTCTTTTTTACAGTGCCTTCCTCCACCTATTTAAAAATTTTGTTAAAGACCTCCAGGCATTTTTGGACAATAGAGATCGTGTTAAAATCAGGTCTCTCCTTAGTTCAAGTTGTTTAGCCTGTAGAGTAGCTTATAACACGAGATGTTTTCAGCTTCTTTTAAAGCATGTAAAATGCTTTGTTCCAGGAATGGTAAGGTGACTCAGTGGATCCTCTTCTAGCCTGGGTGAGCACAGACTCCAGAGCACAGGGTGAGCTCACCTGTTGGAGATAAACAATGGCCACAGGCAAGTTTGTGCTCTTCTTGTTTAAAACAATTCTGAACTCATAACCTGTGCATTTTGTAGTCGTCCTCCTTGCTCCAAATCCAGCTTAACCAACACACCTTTAATTCTTAACTTTTTCATTTTAAAGATCGCTTCTACCAATTTCAATTTATACATTCTCCAGGACACTTTCCTGTTAGGTGAGTATTCCCAAAGTGTAACCTAAGGGCCACTTCTGTCCAGCTGCTTGGAGTGCTGTCCCCTGCCACAGCATTCTGGATCAGAATCTCTGGAGGTGAGGCCTGGGCACGGGGCTTCAGTGCACATTTACAGCTGGCAGCAAAGCTTAGGAGGAAGTTTTCATTTGGCTATGGAATGGCAGGGCCAAGAACAGTAAACCACTACTTCTCTTCTGCCTACTCTCTTCTTTAAAAGTGTATTTCCTGCTGAGACAGGTTTGGCTCAATGGATAGAGCGTCGGCTTGGGGACTGAAGGGACCCAGGTTCGATTCCGGTCAAGGGCATGTACCTTGGTTGTGGGCATATCCCCAGTAGGGGGTGTGCAAGAGGCAGCTGATTGATGACTCTCTCTCATCGATGTTTCTAGCTTTCTATCTCTCTCCCTTCCTCTTTGTACAAAATCAATAAAATATATTTTTAAAAAATAAAATAAAAGTGTATTTCCTCAAGAACTGGACTCAGCCTGGGCGGTATAGCTCAGTGGTGAGCATCGACCTATGAATGAGGAGGTTGTGGTTGGATTCCCAGTCAGGGCATATGCCCGGGTTGCAAGCTCGATCCCCAGTGGGAAACATGCAGGAGGCAGCCTATCATTCTCTCTCATCATTGATGTTGCTATCTCTCTCCCCTCCTCCTCCCTTCCTCTCTGGAATCAATTAAAAAAAATTTTTTTTAAAGAAATAGACTCATATACAGAAAACAGACGGATGATTATCAGAGGGGAGAAGGCTTGGGGGACTGGGTGAAAAAGGTGAAGGGATTAAGAAGTACAAATTGGTAGTTACAAAATAGTTATAGGATGTAAAGTACAATATAGAGAATATAATCAATAATATTGTAATAACTATGTATGGTGTCAGGTGGGTACTAGAAATATTATGGAGAACACTTTGCAAATTACTCGATTATCTTACTACACTTGGTAGTAATACAAAATAATATTGAATGTAGACTCATTGAAAAATAAAAATTTAAAAATAAAATAAATACTGGTTTCACTGGTTCTCATTCTTTTAAAATTTGAAAAACTTGTGAGGATTTTATGTCAATGAGGAGATATTACTTAGGCAAATTGTGCTGTTTTAGGGCAGCAGTCTTCAAACTACTAGTATACACACACACACACACACACACACACAGAGGATGGTATAGGAAAACTTTTCAAGAGCTATGAAGGCCAAGGAGGGTTTTAAAGGATCAGGATTCTGGATATTCAATTTCCCTTTGCACTCCTTAAAACTATTCTGCAAAAATAATGTCTGGAGAGCAGCCGACAGGGCGAAAGAGAAGGCTCCTCCTGAGCTCCCCTTCTCCCGTGGACGCACTGGTAGCACACCTACACGTGGAGCAACCCCCTCTGAAAGAGATCCAGAAGCTAGCCAAGCAACTCCCACACCTCAGACAAATAAGAAAAGACCCACCTCAAAACAGGTAAGAAAAGCTGAGACACACTGTCTCCATAAACCTCACTCCTCAGCGCTGCACCATACAGCGAGGAGGGTACCTTCTCCCTGAGGAGCGAAGGGTTTGGACTCTATACTTACCGTATTTTTCGGACCATAAGACGCTCCGGACCATAAGACGCACCAGTTTTTAGAGAAGGGAAATGAAGAAAAAAAGATTCTGAAACAAATAGTGTCCTAAAATATTTTATGTGCATTAAAACCCAACATCACAGTCATAAACACATGTAATCAACCCTGTAAAGTAAACAGCAGCATTTAGAACCATTTTAGAGCCGGGCAAGCACACAGAGACCACACAGAGCCGGGCAAGTAAAAAAACTTTTTTTTTTAAAGTATATGTGTAGGCTATATTTGGACCATAAGACGCAGGGGAAAAAGTGCGTCTTATGGTCCGAAAAATACGGTAGTGCCCCAACGTTGAAGACTCCCACTCAAAATCCCTAGCTCTGAAAGTCAATAGGCCTTGCTTCCAAGAGGCCCACAAGGTCATAGCAAACAAACATAACATTATCAATAAATGGTGATGGGAAAATTGGACAGTCACATGCAAAAGAATGAAACTGGATCCCTATCTGATGCTTACACAAAAACAACTCAAAGTGGATTAAAGACTTGAATATAAGATCTGAAGCTATAAAACTCCTAGAAGAAAAGAAGGGAGGGAGGAGTAAGTTCTTTGATATTGGTTTTGACAGTGACATTTTGGATTTTACACCAAAATCAAAGGTAATAAAAGAAAAAGTAAACAAGTGGGACTACATTAGACTAAAATACTTCTGCACTGCAAAGGAAACCATCAACAAAAAGAAAGACAACCTTTGGAATGGGAGGAGATATTTGTTAACCACATAACCAGTAAAATTTTATGCAAAATATGTAAGGAACACTAGCAAAAAGGGAAATAACCCAATTTAAAAATAAGCAAAGGATCTGAATAGACATTTTCCCAAGGATATACAGATGACCAAACAGGTACATAAAAAAGTGCTCAGCATCATTAATCAGCACAAATATAAGTCAAATCAAAACCACAATGAGGTATTATCTTACACATGTTAGAATGGCTGTGCTCTAAGAGACAAGGAATGTGTATTGATAAGGATGTGGAGAGAAAGGAACTATTGGTGGGAATGTAAATTAGTGCAGCCATTATACAAAATAGTAAGGAGGTTCGTCAAAAAAATGAAAAATAGCACTACTTCATAAACTAGCAATCCCACTTCTGGGTATATATCTAAAGGAAATGAAATCACTATATTGAAGAGTATCTGTACTCCTGTATTCATTGCAGCTTTAATCACAATAGACAAAGTGTGGAACAAATGTCCATCACCAGGTGAATGGATCAAAAAATGTGACACACACACACACACACACACACAAACACACACACACACACACACACACACACACACTGGATTATTATTCAGCCTTAAAAAAAAAAGGGGGGGGGAAATCTTGTCATTTACAACACCATGGATGAACCTGCAGGGCATCATGCTAAGTGAAATAAGTCAGACAGATAAAGACAAATAACTGCATGGTATCACTTACCTGGGGTTTCAAAAAAAAAAAAAAAAAAAAGCCAAACTCATAGAAACAGAGAGTCGAAAGTGGTTTCTAATATCTGGGGGTTGGGGAAAAATAGAGGTTGATAAAAGGATACAAACTTTCAGTTGTAGAATGAATAAGGTCTAAGGATCTAATGCACATGTGTCAAACACAAGGCCCGCGGGCCAAATCCGTCCCTCCAGGCCTTGCAATGTGGCCCGCACCGTGCTGTCATCACTGCACTCCGCTGCGTTTCCATCACAATGACAGTTTATGACTGTTCAGTAAACCATTCGGCCCGTGATTTAGGCTGGATTTTAGATTTTGGCCCCTTCTCTGATTGAGTTCGACACCCCTAAATGGTGACTATAGTTGACAACTCTGTAGTGCATGATTGAAATTTGCTAGGAGAGTAAAACTTACATGTTCTGTCTTTCTCCACCAAAACAATAAATATGTGAGGTGATGAATGTATTCATTAATTTAAAGGGACAAATTCTTTCACAATGAATACTTGTATCAAGTTGTGTTATACACTTTATTTTATGATTTTGTCAATTATATATTAATAAAGCTAAAAAATAATTTAAAAAGCCTGATCTATCTGAGGATAAAAAATTTCCACCTCTTCTTTCACACATCTCTTCCCCTTTATGTCACATTTAAAGAAGAAAGGCCCCTTCTTACCCTAATCTTTCTATAGCGTATTACCTTTTGGTAGGAAAAACCTCTGTAATCCACAGAGATAATTAGAAACACAGCATAGGTATTGGCATAGTGTTGAGGAAGGAGTCACATTAATGAAAGAGTAACAATTCCATTTGCAACAAGATGGTTTTCTATTTCACTTTCAAAGATCTACAATCAAGTTCTCAACTGATAGGACATTAAAAGCAAATTTTGGTGCTAAGTTTCCCTGTGATTTTTGCCATATGATTCTGAGAATGCAAAGGACTGCAGGCATTGCTGTAACAAAACTCCTATTTCTACCTACTTATTTACAAGAACAAATTTTGCTCAACATTTACATTTATAATAAAGCACAAAAAGGGGAATAAAACTGAGGTTAAACACTATCTCAATTTAGCCATAAATAATAAGTAATTATGCTAAATTGATACCTGACCTAATTTTAGCAAAAATTACATACTTGACCTAATTTTAGCCAAACCAGCCAGTCCCTATCCAACTCATTAAGAGATACATTAAAACAAAATTAGATTTTTCTTATTAAATACATTTCCTTATAAAAATGTATTTATGCTATTTTTATCAATAGTATGCTTATAGCAATTGAAATGATAACTTAATCCAGAATAATTAATCCAGAAAAATTATAATTATTTGGGTGACCAGCTTTATGGTCACCCAAAAATTTTTAATGTAATTTCAATGGATATGCTTTTTGTTATGATAATTAAGATAATTGACAAAAGACTTTCAAGAATAAAAATATGTTCTATTAGGGTGGAATTCTTTGGTAAAGCAGAATAAAAATATGAGGTCAAAGACAGAAAAAGGGAAAGATTCAAAATTTCTGATTATTAAAAACAGCTTGTTCAGCCCTAGCTAGTTTGGCTCAATGGATAAAACATCAGCCTGTGAACTGAAGTGTCCCTGGTACAATTCCAGTCAAGAGCACATACCTGGTTTCGGGCTCAGTCCCCAGTTGAAGGCATCCAAGAGGCAGCTGATCAATGATTTTCTCTCTTCATTAATGTTTCTATCTCTTCCTCTCTGAAATCAATAAAACAATATTTTATTTACTTATTTATTTGAGCACAAATGTTTTAATTCTCTAAAATAAAAAATTTTAAAAAGAGTTATCTGTAGTTCAAAGCTCATTTCTATGAGGTGTCACATCCATCACCCTTTTATGAGACATAAAATTAAGAAAGGGTACCTCCAGAAGCTACCTAAACATTTCAGCTAACTGTTAAGTTAAAGTTAAGGTTGTTTTCACACAGAAATCCAAAGAGGACAGTGAAAATGAAACAAGTTCCACATGGTCATTCAAATCTTGCTAAAGGAACTAGAGTGGAAGCCCAAGCTGGTGAGCAAGTGGGAGAAGGAAAGAAAACATGGTTCAAACAGATCCCAAGAGGAAACCCAGTACTAATGCTGGCTTTGGCTTTCTGTAGGTAACCCCTATTTTTTGTCCCAGGTGACTCTATTAAGTCCCACTGTGGCAAAACCAGTCCAAATCCTATCAAGGTAAAAAGAAGTCCCTCACTGACTGGTTGGGTGTAGGCAGTAACCCATGTCCTCCCACACCAAGAGACATCAATTCTGGCAAGAAACTTCCAACGTGCCTTTGTGGTGCTGTTGAGAGGATGCCTTAGGCCAGGCACGTCTCAGTGATGTTCTGCTGGCTGAGATACAAGGTGGGAGGAGAGTAGGCCTTATTACCATTTAGGTTCTTGGCCTTGAAGAAGTAGAAGACCTGCCAAGAGGCTGGCCCAATGAGACAGAACATTGAAAGGATGCTGACCTATAAGACCCAAGTGTTTGTTGGTTCGTTGGAACCTCCATCTCCTCCTCTCGCTTCTTCGTGTAGGCAAAATCATCCACGATAGATTCTGGCAGGTCTTCTAGGCATCCTAGCTCTACCTCTAAAGGTTTGAGCTTCTCTGCGTCAGCCATCTCTTCTTTTGTTTCTCCTCCACTCCATGTTCATGTCTAGGGTCACGAGTTGGTCAGGTAACAGCCCTGCTCCCTTGCTCTCAAAACATACTTCAAACATGTCATAATCTTCAGTGGTAAAGGCAAAATTTCCCTTGGTTGCATCCTCCTTGGAGTACAGAATACGGCCAGCAGAATCTGTGATCCTGAGGTGGGTGCGCAGGCCGCCAGCGCCCCCAGATTGGTCACCAGCAGGTCCTTTTAGATCTCCTCGTCGGAGCTGATGGGCAGGTGGAAGGAGATGGTGAGAACCAAACTGGGGCAGAGCAGGAGAGGTAAAAGCAGCAATGCTGACTGTTAAAGGCCACGCTGGGCTTTAGGCATGGTGCCGGGGGCTGTTCAATAAAAATACATTTTAAAGAATAAAATAAAAACATATGAACAACAGCTTGTTCATATATTTAAAAAAAAAAAAACCTAGATGACATGATATTTACATTCAGTATGACTTATTTTTTAAAGTGCTGTGATATTTTTCAATGACAATACTTATAATACACTGGGAGTTAACATCCTTTGCAACCATTTTAACTTGGGATGAAAAGCTTTACATGTCAACTTAACAATGTGCACAAGGATACAGAGTCTTACAAAATTCTTTTGAAAGTATTCGCAAGTAATAAGTTTGAAGACCACTATTTTAGGAAACCTGGTCAGAGATCAGTGTGTAGAAGGAACTAGAACGGAAAAGAACAAGGAGAATTTGGGCAGGGCAACAGTTAGGAGACAATTGATTTTTTCCAGATATAAGGGATTTGAGCTATATTAAGTTCACAGTCATGGAAATGAATGGAAACAGACTGGAAAGCAAATGCTACTAAGAAATGAGAATTGTTAGTGTCAATCCCTGCTTCATTTCGTATTAAGTTTTGAATACTGACAAAACAGGATTTCCCTCTTCTGATTTGGTCCCTTCCTCCCTCCCTCCTTCCCTCTCTCCCTTCCTTCCTTTCTCCCTCCTTTCCTCCCTTCCTTCCTCCCTTCCTTTTTCCTTCCTTCCTTTCTTCCTTCCTTCTTTCCTTTCTTTCTTCCTCTATTATTCATCAGTTTGCTAAGTGCTTGGACTTCTGAAACAGTTAACATCAATCAGGTCTCTGGCCTCTAATAGCTTCCTGTCTAGTAGAGGAGTTTACAGCTGAGTATGATGTTGAGAGAGATATCATCATATATGGCCCACATTATTCCACCTCCCTCCCCTTGTAACATGCTAGAGGACAGAGAGCTGAAGCTTCCATCCCAAGACTTCCTCAGATTCCACATGTGGCCCACTCTCTCTGGCAAGGCAGACATATGAATGTCCTATTTTGGGAAGACAGAGGTGGCACTTCTGCTGTTTCCACTAGCGAGCAGAGATGTGGAGGCTCTGGTTTTTCTGTGGCAATGTATTAATAGCAGAGGCCCCACTTGTTCTGGTTGGTACTCTCTTTGGTGAACTTGGGTCTCTGCTGCCCTGTCCTGATGAAGGCTGTTCATGAATATATCTAAATGGTGGCTTCAGAGTATTGAACCCTTACACACTGTTTATGTACTCTGTTTTTGTTTTTGTTGTTGTTGTTGTTGTTGCCTCTATTGCTATGTCCCATCCACTTGCCTTGCACTCCATTTCTGCCTCTTGTGCCCTATGGACAGCTAATTTAAAATGCAAACATTCCCCCTTCCCCCCCACGCACCCTTTCTCCTAATTCAGTAGTCTGAGATGTAGCTGGAAGTCTGCATTTTTAACAACTGCAACAGGTCATTCTGATCCATTGGCCTTGAACTGGACCTTGACAACTCTTTAATGTCAGTAGTTAGGACTGACTCCTCCAGTGTCAGTGGTAGGCCTTTGCTCCTTCATTCTTCCCTGTACTGTGGAGGATGAGAAAAGAGGAAAGTCAAAGGTAGCACTATGTTGTAAGTTCGACTGACCAAGACAGATATAATTGTAGCACTTGTTCAAATGGGGAAATTAATAAGGTAAACCAGTTTGTGGAGGAAATAATGACTATTACTTGAGATATGTTGGTTTTGACATCCCAAAGAAATTGATATATTGTTGGCAGTTTATAATGGATTAATGACTTGGCCCTGGATGTTGGTAATTGGGATGGATTCTCTGTTGAGTGCACTTCAGAGAATTACTACTGTAGCTAAATTATTTCTTTAATGTGGATTGTCCTTCAGATGACATATGTCTATTGGCATCATTCCCAATATGACATAGAGTCAAATATATTTTGTATAAGAGGAAGAGTGAGAAGAATTCTGGTAGAATAATCAATAGTATAGGTTGCCTAAGAGATGTCCAAGTCCCAGCTCTTTCCCTAGATCTCTCCTTCCCTTCTCCCTTAATCCTTTCTTCCCTTTTCTCCGGCCCAGTGGTAAATATATATTAGTTGTGTATATTGTGGAAGGAAAATTATGTAGGATAAATGTAAGAGAAGAGAATATAAACTAAATTTATAAGTATTATTGTACATGTTTCAGTTGGCCACAAACTAGGTAGGGTAAAATAATGCTGTTTTAGAGCTGTCTCATAGGTCTTTGTGTAAAGGAGAACTCTGGACACCTATTTCAACATATTATAAAAGATCTGTTTCTTTTTTTTCTATTATTTTTTTAAATTTCTTTATTGAATAAGATATCACATATTTGTCCCCATCCCCCCATTCCCACACCCCACCCCACGCATGCCCCCACTCCCCTGTTGTCCTTGATCACTGGTTATGCTCATATGTATGAAAAGATCTTCTCCAGGACTTAAAGCCATTGTTTTAGAGAGGCCTTCAAGCTCTTTTTTCAAGTAAAATCTAAGGCAGAAATAATATTTCAGAAATGAAACTGTACTTGATTGAGTTCAAATATATACCATTTATGTATTCTAATGCTGTCTAGGTTCATAAGAACAATGTAACTATTTTTATGAATGGAAAAATTTAAAACCAGGATATATGGACAAGGGTAGTATGTGGGCAAACAAATTTCTTTCCAAGTTTATATTGATTAAGTCCTGACTTATTCAGGAAAGTGGTTATAAATGAAATAATTTCTTTTAACAACATGTTTTTGCAATCTTGGAATACTGTAAATAAACAGATACGGTACAAGAACCCTAATTCTGAAATCTACCATATAATGACTTACCTTTGTCAGTGGGTCAGTCAGAAATATTTATTGAACACTCAGTATAGTCTAGATACTGAAATTATGTTAGAGAAAACAGACACCTGAAATTTATAGCCTAGTAGGATAGATAGTCACTACACAAATAATTGTAAATAATTATAAGTGAATAAATTATGAATCGAAAGAAATTCTAAGAGTGCTGGGAATATATGACAGGAGATCTAGCTTGTATAAACATGGCCAAACGTGTTTTTCCTAAGGAAATGATGTTTAAATTGAAACAGGAAAGGTGAATAGGCAAAAGGAAGGGCAAAATAAAAGTATTCCAGGCCATGATATTCAAAGACCCAAGGAGCAACCAGATATTTTCCATTGTGGCAGAAAGGGACACTGAGGAGCAGGCTGACCAGGAGGGGCTGGTGAGGCAGTGTACCCTGAGGTAGCCAGTGTCTAGAAAAGAGGGACAAGGGATCAGTATATATTGGGGTGGGATTGAAGCCCATCAGTTAATATTTCTTATATCATCCTGACATATGAGCCTTATTTAAAAGACAAGGGAAAGCCACTGAAGTATTTTAAATAGAAACCTGGGTTGATGATATCCTCCTAGCTGAGTATTGAGAATGCTTCGAAGGAGGTGGAACTGATCTGGAAAGAAAACTGCTAGAAAGATACTGCAATAGTCTAGGCAAGAGATGATGGTAGTCTGTACATGAATGGTAGCAGTGGAGATAAAATAAAATGGGCAGTTTATAGGTAACTGTCTTAGTCTGCTCAGATGCCACAATAAATATATAATAAAGACTGGGTGACTTAAAAAGCAGGAGTTTATTTTTTCACAATGGGAGGCTGGGAGTCTCAGATCCAGGTCCATTTGGGTTGGTTTTGGTGAGAGCTCTCTTCCTGGCTTCCAGATAGCCATATTACATGACAGATTCTCTCTCTCTCTCTCTCTCTCTCTCTCTCTCTCTCTCTCTCTCTCTCTCTCTCTCTCTCTCTCTCCCTCTTCTTATAAGGCTCCAACCTATGACTTCATTTAACTTTAATTGCCTCCTAAAGTTGCAATCACAGTTGGGGGTTAGTGCAACATATGAATTTTAGGGAACACAACTTAGTCTGTAGCAATATCTTACATGTTTAGGAAATAGTGCTTCATTGGCTGTAGGAATGAGGTGAAAGAGGGTAGGGAAGTCAAGGATGACACTTAAGTTTGTGGTGTGAGTAGAAATGATAATTGCCATTTTTGGAGACTGAGATTACTGAAGGTAGAGAATATTTGGAGGAGAAATATCTGAACCTAGAGCTAAATGTTTTTATTTTGAAATACCTATAAAATATCAAAAAAAGGAAATGTCAAGTGGGTAGTCGATTGTATGGATCTGGAATTCGGAAAAGATGTCTTGGGTACAGAAAGTAGATTTAGGACTCATCTGCCTAGATATGGCTGCTAAGCCATTGGAGTAGGTGAGAATCCCTAGGGCAGTGGTTCTCAAACGTAAATGCACATCAGAATCACTTGGGTAGCTTGTTAAAACAGATTGCTTGTTCCCACCCTAGAATTTCTGATAACACTGTACTTCCAGAGGCTTATGAATGTTTTAAGGCTTTTAAAATATAG